TAACTAAGTCTTTCACGTAAAAACTAATGAACGGATCTTAATGAAATCAGAGGTATATTATAGTCTGGAACAATATGTACTTACCTAAGCTACATTTTACTCTCGTAAGTATTGCGAGCGAAGTCGCTGGGAGAAGCTGATATGTGATATGAAAAGGTTTTCCGTAATAAGTAGTTCAATGATGGACTTGATATCTTTCCTACACTAGTGGCATTTGCAGTAACCACACTTAGCAGCTAGAGAGAGATTTAACTATTTTTCGGCATTGGAATTGTCATCAGAGATTATTATCTAATATGTGTTAAAAGTTCGATCCCTTATGAGACGTGAGAGTTGCTGATAATAAATATATTCTAGTCTGCCTTTACGACAAGCTAAAAGCCTACTAGGAGGAAGCCTACACAAGTAAGTATAAGTAGCTGTGTACTGTGTACTTTCATTGGTAGAGCCTTAATAACATACCAAGCGCCACTGGCGCGCCGCAGGTTGCAACATGTTGCTACAGTTCCGACCAATGAGGGCGCTCGCAACAGTTTCAACCGCTGCGATTGGTCGGCGAGTGAGGGCGGGCACACTTCATTAAGGCGAATGTCGCTAAAATAGGCCTTTTTCTGGCGTTTGTTTTACTTGTAGCTGTGTATAGAGAGGGATGGGACAGCTTGCTGCAGTCCTACCGTGTGTCGCTTTACATAGACTCAAGTTATGTACTGTGTCGAGTTACTGCGAAACTAACAATTATAGCATTTATGTTATTTAGAGGTTCTAAGTAAAATGTTAGTCTTTCAGTACTGGAGAAATACATTAGTATGTATATATGTAGGTATCTATCACAAATCAATTTGACGGTAAGCTAGTTAGATAAGCTTAATTCTTAGTTGTATCTAATAGTTAATTATGTTTAGTTCTGTCTGTAACGTTGTTGATTATTTCTATGTTCAAATACTGCATAGGTAAGCTCTTTTAAAAATTCATACAGTTGGTAGTTATATAAAATTTTAAATTAATTTAATCAAACAAGTCACTGATATACAAATTGTAAACGCACAAAGCAACATCAATCATAATTAGTTTAGGTAATTGCTATAAGATTTGGATAAAGCACGTCATATGGTGAGACATCCCGTAAAACTCAACTCACAAAGCATTCTATAATTATATACCTATATTAAACGACCTCACAAAGTGTAGGAGAATCCTTTACCACGAATGGGTCGGCTCGACCAGAGTGATAGATATATACCACCAACATTCAGAAAGACGGCATGAAACAACTACAGCGTTGTAGTTCGCTCTGTTAGTGAAGTTATCGGAGACCCTATCCTGGTACCCTGTCCAATCCCCAATCAAATCCCTGTCTTATTCCCAAAAGGCTGACAACTCACTCGTAACTGTACTGGTGTTGTATGTGGCAAATTGCTTACCATCAGGTAATCCGTCAGCTCGTTTGCCGCCGTATCACACAAAAATACTTTTACATTCTACATAACATGAAGGTAGATATGTTAATCTTCCACTTAAAAACTTCAGAACGGTTCTGAACGAAACTTGGCATAAATGTAGACGTCCAAATTTTACTCGAAGCGAAGCCCCTGTAAGATACATGTAAGGATGTATAATAAACACACACAATAGCTGCAGAACTATAAAAGTATGAGAATGTACAGCGACGCACACCAAGGCAGTTGAGGATGGAGTGTCAGGAGATTATGTTATGACCTTGGACCTAATATGCTGCTGAGAAGCATGGCAGGTTATACTTATAAATTTTATTTGGAACACCAGTAGTTTTTACAATAAATATACCTATAACATCATACAATCATTTGAGTTCTAAGACTATATATAACACAACTTATTAAGGTGTACACAACATGTACAATAATTCGATACGATCATAAAAGTCGGCTAACTAACACCACATTCGATGCCGATAGGTATTGTACCTACATAATAGAGAAATGGAGACAGTTTATTTTGAACACAACCATAATCGTTTTACCTGCGTTTCAAATTCATACTGATTCAAAATAAATCCAAACTAATATTATACATGCGAAAGTAACTGTGTCTGTCTGTTTGTCTTTTCTTCACGCCTAAACTACTGAACCTATTTGTGTGAAATTTGGTACAGAGACAGGCATAGTTTGGAACTCACTCGAGAAAAGACTTTTTTAACCAAAAATCAGCAGGAAGTCACTATTCCACGCGATCAAAATCGCGGGTAAAAGCTAGTGTGTCACAAAGATTTGTATCTAAATCTAAATAGGTAGATGGAACATTGATATAAAAAAAGGCCTTTTAAAAAGGTGCAGTAAAACCTTTACGAGTACTTATTGAATACAAAGTTAAAACAAGAACATTCTATATATAGACCACAGACATACAAAGTGAAAAGCAATTTAAAATAAAACTAAAACCTAGTATATAATATCTCGCAGGCGTCGCTGGGGGGTTACAGAGGCAGGGCGGCCGGGGGAGGGGGTGAAGCGGTAGAGTACCAGAACGATATTCAAATTGCGAACATTTCATTTTAACGCTTGCGAAGATATTCGCGCGCTCCCACGCTTCTGTAGGGATGGGGCCGTTTTTTGGGTGGTTGTTGTCGATAATATCGACTTTTATGATTTGTTTGTTTATTGTATCGTACTGGCGAGTAATGTAAGAGTCCGAGTTCTATCTTCTTCACAACATAATCACAATTAATAGGTCTATTCCACTACATGACATTGTGAGACATGACATGTCTGATATTTCCTCCCGCCTGACCCTGGGCGGGAGAAGACAAATCTGGTATCTACTATGCATCATTGAAACACTAGGATAAGAGGTCAAACCTATTCATTCAGTTTTTTTTACCTAATTGTACAAAAGAGGTAAGCTTAATACCATGCATCAGAGATACTGCATCACTCTTTGCTATTGACGAGATTTTTTTTTGGAAATATACTTCCGTCTTGTCCGACACGGAAACCAAACCAGAAATCTCACGTTCAGTAATAAGTTACAATAGCATCCTTAGCAAGGAATCAGGAATAGTATTGCGTTTACCAAATTATAGTATCGACAGCCGCCCACCCCTACGCCAAGTTGAGACGTTTGCGAAATGTTCACATTTCGCGAATTGATCGTTGCTCTGCGGAATTCTCATTTGCGCCTCGTTCCTGTACCGCGCCCCCCTCCCGCGGCCCGTGCCCCGCGCCCCGCGCCCGCCCCCGCCGACGCCCGCTCAGCCACACCTGTATCTGTTCCCTATACAGGGTGATACGATTCTCATGTGTGGGAATTTCAAGAATTTAGTACAGATAGCCTGTCGTGGAATGAGGTATTTTGTGATAGTTGTATTTTTGTTATTACAAATGTAGAATAATTAGATGTGTTTGGGTATAATGGAATCGTACTAGATTCGATACTACATATTTAGTTTTGTTGATGGTTCTGAAACAATCTTCTCTCTGTTGTCAAGCGTCGGTATAGCAGGTTTGATGAGCTTTAGAGGGGTATTGTGATGGATTGATAGATGCAGCGAGACAGTTGTTACTGGATCGTTACTGTTAAAGACATAAACGAGTAAGTGCTACGGCGTAGACTGTGCTACGAGATATTTTAAATAGATATTTTAATAACAGTAATCATCAATAATAGTAATAAGGACAGTGTTACGTCAAAATTCATTGTGATAAGAATGTAGATAATAAGAAATGATAAAGATCTCCAAGCACCCCGTACAAAAATTCCCGATCGGCTTTAAAGAGAAAACGCGCAGATATTCAGTTATACATTGATAATTACTCCCGACCTCCGACCTCACCCTCCGCGCCCTCCCTCCCTCCCTCTCATTGTAATTTAAATCGAATTCCCGCCGACAAGTAAATTGAAATATTTCAATTTCAACGCACCTTCCGCTCTGACGTTCGATATTTGAATTTAGAATTAAGATGGCGACGGTTGCCGTTAGGTTTGATTTCTTTTGTAGTTGTTTTGTTGGCTGTTACCCAACTTGTAAGAATAGGGAAGTGTTGTTTTCAGTACTCAGCTTTATTACATAGTTACCTACAAGCTACTTAGATTACTAAGAGTTTGTAGAATCTGTTGGCTTATCTATATGTTACTTTTAAATATATTTACAAGACACACAATACCTACGCATGTACGTAATAACTTCTATTTTAATTTACTGAAATAGTCTGAAAGGAAATAATAATTTTCCTTTCACTGTTAACTTAGACAGCGAGCAAAGCTAGAGGTGGAGCTCTCCACACTAATATTTAGTTAATTTATTTCTTTTACATCTTATTAACTAACTTAAGTAACTACTTTTCATAAACTTAATAACCTATTGTAGGTATATCGAAATTGGTTTTTGTAAATAGAAATTAGTTTTGAAAGCATTTTTTTTTGTTATCTATGTAGATAAATAAGTTAATAACCAACTTAAGTATTTGTAATTTTTTGTTTTTATTACTAAAATGGTACAGGTATCAAATTGAGTCAACGACTCTATTAATAAAATGATAAACAGATAAACCTTTCCCTATAGGTACGCTTTACAATATTTAAATTTACAATACAATTTCCCTGCTAAAAGCCCTCGAATAAACACCGAGCTATTCACGACAAACAAATGAACAGCACAATAATATTATCACTTCATCTAGTACAAGCGTCGTATGTGTGTATGCATGTGCTGATCTCGGAAACGTAATTAAGATGACAAGATATCAGAGAGCACAGAGCAATCTGCCACAACGCATCGCGCGGCGCGAGCGTCCGACCATATTGCACGCGTTATACAAAAATAACTAAACAATTAAACAAAACCCCAACAGAACAATAAAGAAATAAAAACGAAACGGAATCCACGACGCGAATAACAAACATAATTGTGTTTTTTGTGATTCATTCAATACACTCTTTGTTAGCATAAAAAAAAACTGGTTCTCAAAAAAGTCACCTTTATAAATTAAGTTTCAGCATTCACCAGCCAATCAGGGCTCAGAGGCGGGGTCTGAAAGCGATGCCATTGGCGGAACCGAGCCTCTCATCTTACAACATTTTATATAACCGGATGATACAACATATACAGTTAACACTACAGAGCGAGCGGGACGGAGATATACGTTTGAATACAGTGTGTCGTTTCGCTCTCGTTCCGTCTCTGTCACGCGGCGCGGCAGCAACTGTTCGCTTCAAAATGAATCAACAGTGTTCGAAACAACTCGTCGGAGTGTGTCGCCTTAACTGTAACGTTCGCGTTCCATTTTCGAATTGCAATTCTTTTTTGAAATTTAAAATAGTAGAGTAGTGTTGTTGCATAATGTTGTTGTGTTGTCAGTAGTTGCGCGGTTGTTGCAGTTGTCAGTTTATTTTGTTGTTGCGGTTGGATTGTTATTTTGATGGAAATGTCTCTCCCAAACGGTGTGGACGTGTCCCAGTTGGTGCAGCATCCAGTCTTGGCTGCACTGCCTCCCTTCTTCCTCAGAGCTTCAGAGAGATATCAGGTAGATATTAAAATAAATTGTATTATTTAATTAAGTAGATACATGTTTCAAGTTGCCAAATCCAGTTTGAAATTTTTGTGATTGTGTTTTTTTATTGATTTTAAAGGCCAATAACAAAAAGTATGAAGGTGTTTGTGTAAGTTTGAAATGATTGAAAAGAAGATTGAAAGAGTAAAAACAAAAAATAAAATCTTAATAATTTTGTTAAATTAAATAGAAAAATGCTGTCTGCGAAAATTAAAGATAATTCAAAATAACATTGCCCTTAAGATAAATAAATTTATACATACAATGTAGGTTATCTATTGTCAATATAAAGTAAGCTAAAATTGAACCTTCAAGAAGAGAGCAATTACAACCAACTACCTATTTCAAATTGTAGTTTGCATGCTATTGTTTCATTTTAAATGTCATCGCAATTTTGTGAAAAAAATAAACTTTTATTTTCACACAACTGAAGTCTAAAGTCAAAATAACTGTGTGAGGTTGAAAATTGTATGATAATTTTTAAGTAGGTATAGTTTTAATAGAAGTGACTAGGATGTTTTAAACGAAAAAAACATGTAATGATAAATTAGGCATTTGACTTTTAGAAAAAAAGTATTTTAAACGCAAAGGATATAACAATAAAACCTTGTTAATTAAATACTACATAGTATAAAACAAAGGCGCTTTCTGTCCCTACAGGTACCTATCTCTATGTATGCTTAACTCTTTAAAACTACGCAACGGAATTTAATGCTATAATTTTACTAGATAGATTAAATAAAGAGGAAGATTTATATAACAACATTCATTAAATAGTTGAGAAATTTAGTACCAGCATTGCATACGTGGGAAGATAGTCACTGAGTAGTGAAGTATTAATAAAGAAGTGTTGATTTTCACTCAAAAACTACTTTTAATTGATTTTCCTAGATATTGAGTTCAGATAGATAGATACTAGTACTATTAAAAAACGTTAAATTTGAAATGACAAAGCTGTATCTGCTGTGTTCTATTAGTTATTCCGTCGCGTGTCAGACAGCGACTAGACGCGACGGCTGAAAGAAGATAACAAACTGGAATAAATGATTTGATTTAATTTAAATTAACATTAAATTTTTCTAGTTTTTCATTCTTAAATATGATAGATACCTACGCAGAGTTTTTATAATCTGCTTATAATGAGTGAAAAATATGTATATAAAGTTCAGTAATGGTCTATAATTAATATTGGGAAGTCGAAGAGTTGGTCTGTTCGTTTGAAAGTTCTATCTTAAAGACTAAAGTGGTAATACGAGACACAAGTTTTCACAAGTCAAGAGACGTTCGGGATTTAATGAATTGAATAATCACCATAGTGTTGGCTAACTCAATTACTTAGAAGGATTATAGGATAAAAAAAAATCCAACAACATTACTTAACAGGAGATAAGCAGTCAGTAAATTCGCACGGGAGTAGTTAGCAGGTATTCCATAGAGTACCTACAATGCTACAATGTCTAAATATTTTGAAAAATAACACAGACTGAAGTATATTTTTATCTTTTGACAGTTCCATGCAGCGTTGCGAGTGAGTGATTTGAACGGATTTTCTTTATATATTTGGGAGTGTCGATTTGAAACTAGACACTTTTGCGAGGTACCTGCAATGTAATATAGGGAGGATGCTAATCATATCTTTGCTGTAGGTATCTCACAATTTTTTGTTCTTCTTCCGTCGTTTTCCCCTAAAAATGATTATTTCCGAGAATTTAACTACGTGTATTTCATTTCATATTGAAATACTCCAATCCAAAGAACTTTATAAAGATTTCGAGGGAGGGGGGGGGGGGGAAATCATCAAATGATTTCTCCCGCTTTGGGTGAGACGAGAGGGAGTGTCAGACTCTTACTGACTGAAAACCACCCCGATCCTTCTCCTGCTCCAGGTCGAGGGCACATTATTGCACTTGACCCATAATCCCCGTCTAAAAAGAATGTAATGGAGTCGAATTATAAAACAGCATGTAGTCAAAACGTTTCCTGAAGAGACGTAGCGTTTATTGTCATCATATAAACAAAAAACGTCCAGTTAAAAATCTTTTAAAGATTCAGAATTTTTAAAAGTTTGTTATTTTAGAATTTGTTTTTAAAACCTTTTTATGGGATATAGTGTAGCCTCAACCCCTATGCAAACATTGTTCCCGCGGGCGAGTGGAGCCTTGTTCAAACAGCCGGCTTCGCTCAAAGGCAGCACGGCAGTCAAGTGTGAACTTGAAGATAAAAGTAAACAGTTATAGCTAGTGGCAAGTCGAGTGGACTCTGCTAAACGAATGATGCACAAGTCGCCAGTTTCAATCTGCCTCGATGCATTAAATTACGTTTAGTATTTGTACTGTTCATAGCCGTAATGTCTAATGTCTGGTACCAGAAAAGATATACAGTAAGCAGCATCTCTATTGTTCTATAGTGTCAAATCAAATCAAAATCATTTATTCCAACAAAACCTACATAGGTTCTTTTGAAAGGTCAAAACAGAATAGTAGTCTGTCAGTCTGTTTGTCAGTGAAGCTAGGTGCTCGTTCCAAATTGTAGTTTCGAATAGAGAACAACAATCAAGAAACTCCAATAGTGTAATCATTGATTTCTCTGAATAAGGTACATCATCATCGTCACCACATTAACCATAAGACGCTAAATTCATATTAATAATAATTCTTTTTGTGTATGTTAGCACATTTATCGAGAAAGGCTTCGGGCTATAAAACATGACGCTACAATTTGTAGGAGCTGAGCAGCGAATGAAATCGCGCGACGGAAGCTAGTTACTAAATATTCGTTTAAAAATAAGCATTTTCGAATGTCAAATTCAAAACATTTAGGTATCTCAATTACATATATGTGATGCGAATATCATTAAAACAAAATTTTATTGTACTATGTAAGTTTAATAGTTTTATAATGAGTTAAATAAAACTCAGTAATTAATATTCATTGATCGAAGTTAGATTTAAGTTAGTATTCATTGATCAAGTCTAATGTGTATAGGTTAACAAATAAAATGATCTAAATTTAACCAAGATTGAGTTATACACGCGCTTCTAACATCTAATCAATCATACAATAAGATATACCAACCATTATCATCAGCCTATAATTGCCCACTGCTGAGTAGATATCTCATGTCACACAGAGTAGGTTTGAGCATTAATCACCAAGCTTCTTCAAAGCGGATTGACGATTTCAAACTTAGTCATAAGAAATTTTAAAGTCCAGGTTTCCTAACTATATGTTCCTCCACAGCGTATAGTGGTGTCTAAATAATAATAGAAAGTACATATATCTAAGTAAGAAAAAGGTACATTAGTACTCGTCAGGTTTTATGCATGAGAAGCGGGTGTATCAATCTTCTGGACACCACAATTAACCCACAATAACACCCTTTAACCTTCTAGAAATCATAAATTACAGCATCACATTACATTTCCTGTAATGAAGCAATTCTATTATAACAAAACATTAATATATAATTACCAAAATTATAACATTGTGTTATAATAACCACCCTGTAATCAATAACACTGCTACATTACAACACAACACATGTTATTTGTTATAAATGTGTTTTTATGTAAATGTAATTGTAATTGTAATGAGTCTGTAATGTGATATTATTGAATTATGAATGTAACAGAGGGATTATTTTGTAAGTGATACATTTTCGTGTGTGTGGCCAAAATATGGGGTTTAGGAGTATTGTTAATTCTATGTTACCTGCCCACTTGGTAGAGTTGTATGGATTCAGTTTGTCAGCTGCTTCTTATAGTCATGGATCAGTTTCATTTTGTTATCTTATAATTTGTAGTTCGTCCTTTAAATGAAAACGGTTCATTTTTAGTTTTGATATATCTATACTAATATTATAAAGAGGTAACATTTTTAAGTTTGTATGTAGGGGTTAGTCTTTGGAACCGCTGGTCAGATTGGCAAAATTCTTTCACTGGTAGATAGCTACAATGTTCCTGAGTGCTATACGCTATAAAATATCACGCTACGATCAAATGGAGCTGAGAAGCGGGTGAAACCGCGCGAGAGTAGCTAGTAACATATAAACATACATATCTTCTGAAAATCACGACTGACTACCGTGAATTAAGTAAGAAAAGCTCTAGGTACCTACTAGTTTCAAGTCCCACCAAGAGGTCATTTGATGATTTTCCCCTGACAAAAAAAAAAAACAAAAAAAAGGTATTCAAAACTGATACGAAACTATGGAGTTTCTTGTTCACTCTTTACTGAAATTAAATGTAGGTACAGATAAACGGTGTTAAGTAAGAAATGGATCAAATACTTTTTTTATTAGGATTTAATCCAAAGGAACCAAGTAATTACATATTTAACAAACGATTAAAATAATCAACAATAGTAAACACAAACGGTTTAAATAAATTATTGTCAAGACATTGTATAATAATTACGTCTCCTTTCTAATCTGGCTTATGTCCAACTATGTCAGGGTTAGCGCTGATTCTAATCTAGATCCAATTGAAAGTTTATAAAAAGGAATACTAGTTTTCATTCCAAAACTGTCTATTAAAAAACCGAATCAAAATCCATAGCGTATTTTAAAAAATAGATACATACATGTGATATAGATAAAGATAGGGATATAGGGACAGAGAAAGTTACTTTGTTTTATACTATGTAGCGATGGATAAAATTATTTAATATAACCTTTACGTTCAGTTTTTTTCCAACGGTTTGGTTGAGTCATGTCATTTAATTGAAACTACTATAAAACTCATGCTGTACCCAAAAACTTTATATACGACGAAAAAACCAGATTATTTCTCTCAGAATGTATCCATCATTCCTTTAGTCTTTCTCCGTCTATCTCTAGATGTGTGTATAAGATTTTATCTTTAATAAAATCTTACTAATATGTTTGGTTGTTTGTGTGTTTGTTACTCAATCACGCCAAAACGGCTAAGCGGATCTGGATGAAAATTTGCACAGGCATAGGATACATTCCGGAATAGGACATAGGCTACTTTTTATCAACATACCACGCGGGAAAAGCCACGTTCGGAAGCTAGTGTTGTATGAAGCCCATTTTATAATAGTATTCCTTATGCCGTGACTGGATCAGTAAAAAGAAGTTGCTACATAATAATCAGTCTGCTCTGCCTCATCAGCGTACGCCGAAGTGTGCTCGGTGCCGCAACCACGGCGTGGTGTCCGCCCTGAAGGGCCACAAGCGGTACTGCCGCTGGCGCGACTGTGTCTGCGCCAAGTGCACCCTCATTGCGGAGCGACAGCGGGTCATGGCTGCACAGGTGAGTCACTTTCTGTCTCTATTTAATAGGTATTTTGTGACTTCCAAAAGGTCCTTACTGGAATCTAGATATGGGTCATTTTGGACTTTCTCTTTATTACATACGGCTCATAATAACTGGTAGTATCTTGGTATTTATTTCTTCATAAATAATATGAAACATCAACATAACTAGATTTTTTAATGTGATAGGTCGGCAAACGTGCCGGGAGGCGGTTTACCTGATGGTAGGCAATCTGCGCCGCCCATGGACACTTGCAACAACAGAGGTGTTACGAGAGCGTTACTCACCTTTTGGAGATTAGGGATTTGGAGATTTAGCGATTGGGGTAGGGGAAGGATTAGGCCTTACCTCACTCACACGGCATAACTTTCTGTAAGGCCGTGGTATCACTCCGGTCGAGCCGACCCATTCGTGCCGAAGCATGGCTCTCCCACACAGATCCCATATTAATTTCTCTATATATAAGTGCCCCTAATGTAACTTGAATGATATAGTACTATGTGCCCCACATAGTTCGTACAGCATGGTGCGCTTGCGCAGGTGGCGTTGCGTCGCCAGCAGGCGCAGGAGGAGAACGAGGCCCGGGAACTGAACCTGCTGTACGCGAGCCAGACATCCACTGCACCACACCACTACACTGACATGCCTGAGGATTCACCAGGTAGGGTTTCTTTGATCAAAGAGGATATACATATATTTATAAACTAACCGTTTTTCCCGGCTTTTGTCTCCATGAAGCGGTATATTTTTCCACTATTGAATTGATGTTAAAGGTTTATACATATAAACCTTCCTCTTTAATCACTCTACGTAATAAAATAAATCGCATTAGAATCCGTTGCGTAGTTTTAAAGATTGAAGCATACATACATAGAAATATAGGGGGACACATAAAGCGACTTAGTTTTATACTATGTTGTGATACGCTATAAATAACTATAAGTAGTTTTTATTATAAGTTTATTTCCGTATATTGCTGAACGGGCCTCTTCAATAGTATACACGTCATTGGGCTAGATTTTTAGCCCTTTTCATCTTATCACTTTGCAATAAAAAAAATTTATTTCTACCACTTTTTTTTTAAACTTTGACCCACACTAGGATATTTCCTTGTGTCGTGAGTGCGTTTACAAACATACAAAATCATATACACCTAGACTCGAAACAATAACTTGTAGAACACGCAAAGTGTAGTTCCGTGCGGGAATCGAACCCACGGCACGTTGCACAGCAGCCAGTTACTGTGCCAACCGTGCAATCACACTTGAAGATCAAGAACATGTTTCCAGTAAGTCTTATAGCCACAATTTCCGGCTAAGACAGTGCAGCCGCGGGCGAGCGCTGTCCCATTCACTGGCAGAGTGTCACCAAGAATCTAATCTCAGATGTCCCGAGGCGAGCGCTTCCTTACCCCCGTCCGTGACGTGTCACACTGTCACATACACTTGCTTGCACAGTTACTTGCGACATCACTGGAGTTGATGTGAACGAAGCATGAAAATGTCTTTTGGTAGTTGCTAAGACTTTTTCTTTTAATTTTGCGACGGGATTGACGTTACTTTGTTTCTTTGGGTCTGGAGGGCGAGAGGGAGTGTAGGGTAAACCTGGCAAATGTGCCCCACAATTCGAAAAATTTAAATAAAAAACGGTCTCATTTAAAACATGTGTATTAAAGTAACTAATCTTAATCTCTGACTCAATAGGTATAACAAAAACAAAGAAAAAACGTGTCAAAAGTGTTTAAAATAGCTGAGATCAACGATTTCTTAAAGTCTATGGTGGGGCACATTACACGGATATATCAGTCATATGTGCCCCAATAAATTTTATAGGAAAATCCGAAAGATGTCCTAATTCCGAAGGTCTACCTATATTTTGCTTGCTATCCCAGCCTTTCAGGATGGGTCTATGATCTCATTAAATTCTTGATGTTATTTCATATGTGCGGCTAGCTTCATTAACTCCCATTTTCTTGGTTATGACATCTTGTATAACTTTTTTCATATTTTCTCTTGTCTATCTTTTTGGATCCGTAGCTTTTTCCTACCCCGTTCATAAAAATAAAAAAACTGTCATAAAAGCTTTAAAATAAAAATATAAAACTAATACAGATGTGGGGCACATTAACCAAGAGGAATCGGGGCGCATTAGCCAAAGTAATTGTAGTTACACAATAGTTTGATGAGGTTACCTTTATAATAAAACTTTAAAAACGGAAAAAAACATGAAGCAAACGTTTTAACTCAAAGTTACAACAGACACAAAACATTTTCAGACTATGATACATACCTTGTGACCACTTTTTCTTCGTAAAAACAAATAAGTAACAGCACTGAATTTTTTACATCAACGACATGCTTCGTTCACTAACCCACACGGACAAAATTACCGCCAAATTCAAAATGCATCTGTCAATTCTGCGAGTGGGGCACATTATCGACTGGGGCCCGTATGCCTGATTTACCCTAAGACTCACTACACCCGTCGGTTTGCACCCGTCACCCCGATAATTATATTGAGGGTTATATATATTACTCTCACGCAGTTTCAACCGCTGCTCAGCTCCTGCAGATCATAGCGTGAGGTTTTATAGCCTTCCTCTATAAATGGACTAACAAACACAAAAAAAATTATTCAATTGGAACTAGTCGTTACGGAGATTAGCGCGTTCAAACAAACAAACTCTTCAGATTTATAATATTATAGGTATAGATTTAAAATGAAATAGTATTTTCGTCGTTAAAACTTGATTCACTTAAACATATTCAAATTCACAACGTTAATTATAAAATAACAGCGAAACGTACAATATTACTTAAACAATTCGCGTACTGCCACACCGAGTTACCCATGGGTACGGTTTCAATGGAAAAATCGATGGGAAACCCTCCGCATAAAATAAAACATCAACAACACGGCAACTAAAACGCCCCTTAAACGAGTAAAAAAATACAGTTTAAGAAAAAAAGCGCAGTGCTACCAATTAAGGTACAACGGTGCTAAGTGTTGCCACTTCCCAGCGCCGGTGTGGGGGTTAAAAAAAACGTTAAAAAGTCGCGACGCATTGTAGCGGTGGCGCGCGCCGGGTTAGAACACTGTTCCTGTAACAGAGCAATTACATTTTTGTTTGGTTTTCTTTGTTGGTATATTTCGAAATAAATGTAAACATTGATCCTTTTAAAGCAAAAGTTATTACCTTGTTACCTTAATTAGTGCTTAATTAGATGAGCACTTAGAGTCGTGATCAATATTCAACCGAGATGTCGTACGTGATTTTTTATAGTATACAAGTTCCTTAAACTTATATTTATGTTTGATCGAAACAATGACTGAAAAATGCAACTAATAGACATAAGATCTAGTACGTATCTTTGGAAAAAATGACATAGATTTGGATAGATCCACTTTTCCATTTTAAACTTACACTAGTAGATATACATTTATCACTAAGAGAATTTTGCGTTCCGTCGCCGTCGGACGGGTTGGAACCATTTTGGTTCCGAAATCTAAACTTATTAAGATAATGTTGACTGTATTTTTTAGACTTTTCGTTTTCAAATTCTATATTTGAATTTAAATAATAAGAATACTTTAATTTGAAGAAATATTGAATAGTTTTGATATCAACATTTAAATATCAAAGAGCCTTCGGCACGAATGGGTCGGCTTGACCGGAGGAGTGATACCACAGCCTCATAGAAAACCGGCGTGAAAAAACTTAAACAACTACAGCATTGGTTTTTCGCAGTGTGTATAAGGTTCAATCTACGAAACCCTAATTTCCAAAAGGCTGGCAATGACCTCGTAACTCGGTGCTGATGTTTATGGGTACCGATTGCTTACCATCAGGTAATCCGTCGGCTCATCCGCTAAACTAACACATAATAAAAATGTATCAGAGTGATAAGCCATATCATTCTAGTTTGTTTGAAGATCGTAATTCAAAAGAATCAAAATTATCAGAGAACTGTTCTTCTGTCCAATGTGTAGTTTTCTTACTGTTTTAAAAGCCTAGGTCGGAAAACGATCAGCCGGATTATCTGATGGTAAACAATCAGTACTGCCCATGGACATTAAGAATACCGTAGTCAGTAAGAGTCTGACACTCCCTCTCGCCTTACCCTGGGCGAGAGAAGACCTTTGTTTTTTTTTATTATTATTTAATAGGTCGGCAAACGAGCACACGGATTACCTGATGGTAAGCAATCAGCGCCGCCCATGGACACTCGCAACGAAGGAGTTACGAGTGCGTTGCCGAGCTTTTAGGGATTAGGGATTTGGATATTTAGGGATTTAGGAGGGATTGGGGGAGGGGAAGTGTTGGGCCTCCGGTAACCTCACTCACATGGCGAAACATAACGCTGTGGTAATTTCACGCCGGTTTTCTGTGAGGCCGTGGTATCACTCCGGTCGAGCCGACCCATTCTTGCCGAAGCATGGCTCTCCCACACTTACACATGACACAAAAAGGGAAGTCTACCTCTACCAATTGTTTTTTAAATGGAAATAATAATAATAATGTATCAGCCTTTTCTCCGCCATTCTTTGTGAGCAAGTCCTTGGCAATCCCCATTGCTAACTGAAGTACAATGACGCACACGAGAGCGTCACGTCTCACCGTCACTTGATACAGTCGCGCTCAAAACGTAATTACTCGTAGACGCGTTCGCTTGCACTTTTGTCACTCAATACGGCTGGTAAGATGTGTGTTCCAAGTCATAGGGGACAGAGATTGTTCATTATTGAATTGAAACTTTATTTACACGTCGTTTGAAGCTAGATTAGGTTGACTTTGTGGTCCTTTTTTATTTAAAAAGAATCGGTTATTAATAACTGTTTACTTTGAGTACCTATTTTAATATTTTTATTATAACTTTCGTAAGACATACTAAATGAATCATTATGTTTTCGTACGTATTTGTTTGACGATATACCTACTCGACTAGATTCAAATCATGCTAGAGGCCTATACTCTAAGAGCAGCATTCTGCGACACGCGACGCGGCGACTGTCGAGCTGCTACTGGCTATAATACCTATTTTTATGCCGAAAATACACAAAAACAAAATACCAAGTACCACAAGAACCCCAAAAAAGTTACCGAAAACGCTTCTCTCATATAAAAGCGTCTATTAAAACGTCTTAAAAGTACATTTTAATTCAGCACAATCCAGTAATTCATTATGATATAATTAATTTTTGGCTGCAACACAAGCAGCTTGGCCTTAGAGTGTGGTGTTTCAGTCTGGGGTTGAATACTTACTTATGAACTACTTTATATTACTCATTCACACACACGTGTTAATTGCTGGCGAGTCGTTCTCCGCTTTCTTTATACAAATGTTTATAATTCGCATTGCTAGCCATGTTTGTGCTACATCAAAGTGCGACCCCTACCGCGGTACCCCGGCACGATATTAACTTCAATTGGATTATTAACAGTGTGTTACAGATTTTAAATTGTTTATTTATTTTTTATTAAAGCGATTTATTTTCACAGTTAGTTGAAAGAAAATTGTAGTATTGTAGTGTCTTCTTTTAAAAATGGAAAAAATGAAGGTATTTTTGTTTGATAAATAACTTCATTTAGTGACTTGTAAATTTAAAAAAGTCCCTACAAATTTGTTTGTTCTCGATTATACCATTGAATTTTTTATTTGT